TTTCCTCAGTAGTTAGTAGTATTGGCTCAACCACATGCCATGAAGGGCTCACAGTAGAAGAGATTCAAGCCCTGGAAAGGGAGTCGTACCACATTAATGGTTCCAAAATGGACTAGCTGTAACAGAATCATCTAGAATGCTTACTGAAAATGTGTGTTGCTGAGTCCAACCTCATATCTAATCAATTAGGAATTCCAAGGTCTAACTACTATGCATATGTATTTTTTAAAAGTATGGTGGTTCTGGAAAGTAAAAGTAAAGTGGTTCTGGAATTCTATCATTCATTAAAAAGTTCATTTAAAAATTCATTAAAAATACCACATTAATTAAATAGTAAACTCTTTTCTAAATAGTAAAATGATATAGAATTGACTCTTTCCATTTTGTCAGCATATTAGAGGAATATCTAAACTAAACTACAAAGAGAATGGAAACAATTTTTCTACAAAATACTGCAAAATTATGACTACAGGTTTGTATAGGTTTGTATGTATTATAGATCTTACAAAATAATGTATTAATATATAATTCATTCTAGTGAAAGAAATAAATCATACTTGACACACTTGAAAAGGTTTAAAAGAATAAAATCTATACAATTTTCATTACTCTCATTTTAAAAACTTACTAGTGGGCCCGGCGCGGTGGCTCACGCCTGTAATCCTAGCACTCTGGGAGGCCGAGGCGGGCGGATTACTCAAGGTCAGGAGTTCGAAACCACCCTGAGCAAGAGCGAGACCCCTTCTCTACTATAAATAGAAACAAATTAATTGGCCAACTAATATATATAGAAAAAATTAGCCGGGCATGGTGGCGCATACCTGTAGTCCCAGCTACTGGGGAGGCTGAGGCAGGAGGATTGCTTGAGCCCAGGATTTTGAGGTTGCTGTGAGCTAGGCTGACGCCATGGCACTCACTCTAGCCTGGGCAACAAAGCGAGACTCTGTCTCAAAAAAAAAAAAACTTACTAGTGGTAATTAAAAGGTATTAATAGTTCCTCCAATTATTTATATTATATTATGACTGAATGCCATTCAAACACTTACTGTGTACTGCAATGCCAATAATAAAGGTGTGTTCTCCACCATGGACCTTCTGATAGAGTAGTTACAAAAAAACCTAATTGAAAAAATACAACTTAAGTGAAGCACATATGATGCTATACTTAATAAGGAAATTTTAAAATACAGAAGAAAACCTCCATTTCCTTATTTTTACTGAGGTAGAAACAAATTCCTACCTCATTTGTTTTAAGGGTAGTTGAATGTTAAATTTATTGAAGTTGGTTAACTGCACTGTGGTTATGTAAGAGATATCCCCTCTTAGAAAATATACATTGAAGTACTTAGGAGTAAAAGGATGTGATGTAGGTAACTTACCCTCAAGTGATTAAAAAAAAAATCATGTGTGCATACGTGTGTGTAGAATGAGAGACAGAGAGTGAGAAAATGTAAATGACAAAACATGGGATAAAATGTTAAAAATAAATCTGGATAAAGGTATATAGAGTTTTTTATAATATTTTTATTTTTAGAACTTTTCTATATATGTGCTTATTTCAAAATGAAAAGCTTTGTAGAAAGTATAAGAGTGGAGATAAACAGGAGAAAAAGAATGTTGATCATTCTTGAAGATGGGGTTCATTCTTCCACTCTCTCTACTCTGTACATCTTTGGAGTTTTCCATAATAAAACATCAGAGAAGAAAAATAAGAAGTGGATGAAATCATGTATGTAAAGTGGCTACTACAGTGTCTGGCAAATAGAAGACATTCAGTAAATGACACTATTGTTATAACTGAGTTCACATCTATCTTAAGTATAGATAAGTATTCACTTTTGGTATTTAATTTTACTCAAGTATTTACTGACAGTCCACAGATGTAGGGTGCTCTCCTCGACATTGCAGTGGACACCCACGCAAGTCAAGAAGCAGCTTACAACATTCGAGACTCAAGTGATCATGACCACGAAAGGCAAATCAGCAAAAGCTCAGGAGTCAAAGAACTGAGCTCAAATACAAGCCAACATCATCTCTTTCCTATGTAATCTTAGATAAAATAATGCAATAACTAGGAACATCTCTTCATCTATCCTATTAAGAGTAAAACCTTCTACTTCAGATAGATGAGCTTGGTATGAAAAAAAAGTGAGATGCTCAAAAAGTTGCTCTCTAAGCTCGTGTTACGTAAACATTAGCTTTCATTGTATTGTACGTAGAGCCAACGTGGGGAGAATGATGTGAGTACATAAGTAACAACACAGAGCGTTAAGTGTCGCAGGAGAAGATCACTAGAGGGGTGAAGGAAGTCCTTACGGAGAAGGTAGCCCTCAAGAAGGATCTGAATGGATGCATGGGGAGAAAATCAGGAGACAGAGAGAGGAGGAAGTAGGACTTGAGGTTATGAAACAATCCAAGCAAAGGCATGAACAGGGAGAGTGTCAGGATGCAACAAAGCAATAGAATCTTTCCTAGAGTATGGGAAAACAAACAGTACAATAACCAAAAATACATCTGTAAAAGTGAGGAGAAATTGGAGAAGGCCTTGCCTGACTCTTAGGAGTGTCCAGGCATGTGGCTCACTAGTCATCCGGACTCCAGTTCTACTGCAAGGATTCTTCTCTTCTCCTAACAGTGCCAATAAAACTTAACTGTCCAAAACTGAGAACTTTTTTAAATAAAGCACTCTGTTTCAAAGGAAATAATTTAAGCAAAACATACAAAGTACATACTGCTATAAAAGGAAATGCTTGCTATATCCAGGAAAAATTCAATCCCAATAAAAATGAATATAATCCAAAAGAGTTTATAATTTACATTTGGCTTTGGAATGTAAATTTTTTCAATGAGGAACTTCCAAGTCATATTTTTCTCAAGCCAATACTAAAGAAAATTCCTTAACTACCAACCAAAAGATCATCAAAAGTGATCACACAACTAAAGTCAACTTTTGGCAGCTTGACTGACTTTCCTGGAATGTAGTTTAATTTAAAATTACATGACTATGATCATTTTTACATTTCACTTTGCCCACGGTACATAGCCACACTTTTTACAAGAGTGTCCTTTTATTGTTTTTTATAATCCTTTGAGTCACTACTGTGAAATAATGAATCCATAATTACTCCTTTTTGATTTATACTTTTACATGAATAGTTTTATAAAGATTTAGGAAGAAAGCTAAGTAAAATATCTTGTGACTATAGTACACTAAAAACCATAAATCTATTTTGATATGCTTCACTGAATACTAAATTTTAAAATGGTGAGAAAAAACATTATAGAAAGTTATGTGGAAATAATCTCAGAGATCATCCATCCCAATCAACCTTATCATTAGATAGACATGGAAACTAAAAGCTAGGAAAATTAAAGAAATTCCTTATAATATGCTGCTATCTAGTTAGGGACAGGTCTAAAATTTAAATTCAGGTTTTTTGGCATCTGAAACACTAATGACACCACATTCAATACTGGGCTTCCTTTTGATATGACACATAACTGAAAGAAAAATCAAAAACTATGCACAAATCTGTTTCCTTTAAAAAAACAAAAACTGCCAAGTGCTGCCATTGCTTTGAAGAAAGCAATTATGAACTTAAACTGCCTCCCCCAAAAAAACTTCTAACCATACCAGAGTATTGGAAAATACTCAGTTTTAAATACTTATACCATTTTAATAATCAAAAAAAGAAAACACTATCAGATTAATTAAACCTTCCCATGGGACATACAAAGTCATTCTTCACCCAAAATAATGAGAGCGCTGGATAGGAATAACTCAAAGGACCTTACGCAGGTATGGCATTCTACATAGGCTGCTCGAGACAAAATGAGTGAGAGATGACAAATGTGATTCAATTCATATTAAAAGAAATCAAAGGAAGATACATTTAAGAGAGTGGTTTACTGATCAATTCCTTAAATCAACAGAACAAGTCTACTATTTTTTTAAGAGCTCTTTGAATCCAAAGAAGTTCCCAAGCCTTATTATCTAATAGGTTATCCCATAGTGCTGCCATTGCACAGCAAACTGATGCCTCAGCGGAGTGTGGAGGGCATGCCACACCCATAATTCACTGCCAGAATCAGCTCTGCCTGAACCCTGCCCTACGTGGTTAAGCAGAGGGTAAGAGTACGGACCACCCAGGCAGACCTCACAAATGCAGAGGTGTCACTCTAGTTTTTGTGTCTTCTTCAGAATAAAGCAAAAGTTCCAGTATATAACCTCAAGTGACCAAGGCCCTCCACGCTAACAACAGGGAGAACTAGAGGTGCTCTTGCACTTCTATTATCTTTAGGTCTGAAAATTGTGAACCAAAAATGACGACTTATTGTAAGGTAGGGAAGGGTTTTCTTCAGTTACGAAATTTGCACCCAATCAGAAAAACTCAAGTTTGCACTTCTATTATCTTTAGGTCTGAAAATTGTGAACCAGAAATGATGACTTATTGTAAGGTAGGGAAAGGCTTTCTTCAGTTACAAAATTTGCACCCAATCAGAAAAACTCAAGTTTGTGCCGCTTCAGAGTTTATTACAAAACTCTTCAAAATGTGCTAATTTGTCACTGAAAAAAGCACTGAGAACAACACAAAAACTACACTTAGTGATATAAAATCCTAACCAAAAAATAGTCTAAAATAACCTAAAATAAAAAGCTTTCCTCTTATAACACAAACAGAAAAAAGTTTCTAAAGGCTTAATTTTAATTTTACTATATAACCAGAAATTGTGCGACATGCATATTTATGTGTAAACATTCTTCCTGAAAAACAGTGTTTTGTAGGTAAATAATTTATTCATTATTGCATATATTTAACATAAATCACTGCATAGAATGGAAAGATTAGTATTTTAATTACTTTTCATTTTTACATTTAGCCAGCTGCGCAGATTCAATATAACTATTAATGGCAACAGCCAAGTGAACAGAATTTACTATGCCTAATTAGACAAAATTTATGTACACCAAGGAACTGAAAAAATCTGGTAAAACTCACTTGCTACTCCTGATGCAAGTCCATAAAGTAGTCCTCCCCCATCCGACTGCTGAGAAAAAACATGGGCTCCCGGAGGAGGTGGCTTTTCTTGTCTGATAAAGTTATACAATAAGGTTTTCACAAGTTTGCTGGTATATGGAAGACTACACAAAAAGAAAAAAAAAAAACTTCACATTAGATACAGGGGTCATCTAATTCTGCATAATGACACATAAATAATTCTGCCATTAATAATATCTATTAATATAAAAGAGTTGATAGCACAATTCAAAGAAATCTAGCACTGTCACATAACAGCAAAGACCATGGGCTTTAAGATCAATTTTCAGGCGTATTCTGACTTTGCCTCTTACCACACCATAAGACATTGGTCAGATCACAAACTCTTGAGCTTCGGTTACTTTGTTTGTATTCTCTATAACATGGTGATATATTATAAATTTTGTGCATAATACATTACATGGCACCTGAAGAAAGGTAGTAATACGAAATCAGTAGGAAAAGCAAGAACTAAAAAATAATAAAAGACTACATTTTTTCAGTATGAAATTATTTAATTTATTCAATTACTCAACTGGTGATAAACCAATTCCTGCAATCTACAGTAAACTTTTTACTACTCTTGAATGTACTATTGAGCTTTTTAGATATAGCTTCCAAGGTGAATGACAAACATCAGTAAAGAATATATTACGGTTTAAATATTTGGCATCACAGTGATACTATAAAAACCTTACTTTGAAAATAAGAACACTAACATTCTCTATGTCTATTAAAAAGGCAACTTCAACACTTCCAGCATTGTAAGGAACAGGAAGGTGCACACAGCCCCACAATGCCAAGCACTACTTCAAACCAAGGTCATTTTGAGTGTCAGAGGGTTCAGATGCAAACCTTCCAACTCCAAACCGCAGGCCCTTTCCCTCTTACCAGTGATTTTCAAATATGTTCAAAGAACATACATGCTACAGGTATGATAACAGGGTAGCAAGACGGATGTGGAGACGACAAAGTTCCCCCAGTACCTAAGAACTTTAAGGTACTTTATTTGGATTCGTTTTACATTTAAAGTTTTGTGAAGATTATGTCAATACAAGGTAGGATGTGTGCATGTGTATTATTTAGTATTTTTCTATTCCCACCCCTACCCCCTAGATGATTGTAAAATTCTGCTCAGGAGCATAGCCCCATAGGCCAACACATGCCTGGCACACGGTCAGCACACAGTGAAGAGGCTGCTGGAGTAGTCCAAACACGTGGTGATGGGACACAGATTACAGTACAGCAGTTTTAAAGGGACTGGTGAGAAGGGGAAGACACAAAAATAATGTGTAAACAAGTATGATTTGACTGCTTAGACCAGAGGTCCTCAAACTTTTTAAGCAGGGAGCCAGTTCACTGACCCTCAGACCGTTGGAGGGCTGGACTATATAGTTTTAAAAAAACTATGAACAAATTCCTATGCACACTGCACATATCTTATTTTGAAGTAAAAAAACAAACAGGCAAAAACACCTGCATGTGGCCCTCGGGCCATAGTTTGAGGACGCCTGGCTTAGACACATAGAGAACGAAGGAAAAGGAAGAAAAAGATAGAGGATTTAGTGTTTCAATTCTGCAATGCAACAGCTAGAGAAGGTAGGGAACGAAGCTGGGGAACAGGAGGGACAGCGGGGATGGGTACATTGGACAGGAACGCAGGATTTGAGTCCTCATGCATCGGACTTGACGAAACAGCAGAACAACCAGAGGAAACATTAATGCTCGGATAAGAGGACAAGACTAGAAATACAGACTTACACAATTAAAAAACTTGACATATTTAAAATAGAAACATACCATGGACCTCGCATCAAATATTTGTGGCTGATGCTCTGTCGCAAAACTTCCTTGTGGAAGAGTTGGCAGGAAAGGAAAACCACCATTGTTGATATCGCTTCTACTGATATTTCATATGTAATATCTCTGAAGAAATGGGAAGAAAACAGAATAATGATCACTTCACAAGATTAAGATATTATTCTTTTCTAAATAAACTGCCCTTGAAAAAACTCAAATTTAAATATTAAACATTTTCAGGTTATTAAAAAATAACATAAAAATCAAATAAAGCAAACACCAAAACTCTTCCCCAGTCATTAGCTCTTTTATTTGGGTCAGGTATCTATTATTTCCCCATTTTCCATTTCCCGTCTCCTACTAAATGACAAGTGTTCTGCTTTGAAGATCCACTCTAGACCTTTATGTTCATCTGTTTAGTAACAATACAGAAACAAATACTCAAAGATTATACAACTGAAGAGACCTCACAGTGTAGGGAAGAAAACAATGCCATTTAGTACTAACAATCACTTTATAATCTGAACAATGATAGACCCTACATGTCTTGTGTCTGTAGGGTCCACTTTCTGAAGGCCAACTTTGCATGTTCAGCAAAATATTAATAATAAATAAATTATTCCTATTTTATTAAGCATATTCCTATTATGATAAACTACCCTGTCCTGCCCATATCATTAATCCCTTTTAGAAACAAATCTTATATCAAATAAAAAGGAAAAGTTTCAGCTGAGCAAAAAGCACAAACAGGAATAAATGTCATCCAAGAATTTTCAGTCACTGCAAAAGTTTAAACTGAATTATAATACGAAGCAGAACATGTTAAAGACGAGGAAAGCAGAAACCTCAACAATACAACAAAGAAAGCAACAACTCCAAAAGAATATCAAAATATTTTTATAAAACTGAAATATTCATGAAAAGTTCAAAGAAAAGTACTTAGACCCTGTTTAAATGAAGGCTCATTAAGCAAATTAAAAATGACTTGGTTCAAGAACTGGACAAGCTTAAATTCTACCAGATATTGTAAGGAATTATTAGTGACAGAGATATATTTAAAAAACAAAGTATACAAAACACAAGAAGAGGCCCATTCAATTGACCTTGTTGCATAATGAATAAATCTGTTCTACTCAGAAATCTGACTTTTAAAGTATTATAGAACAATTCTCTTTCCTGAAATTTGTATTACTGTTGAAATAGTAACTACATAAAAAGCAATTCTTGTATTTGCTCTTATTCATGAACTGAATAAAAGACAAACTTGATGTTTCATGTCATGATTCATCAATGATGATTTCAGTGCTTGGAACCCAAAAAGATTATGTATTATAATAATCATGCATTCATATAGCCTGTGTCTGTCAGGAATCCATACTCTAGTCAATTGGCTAGGCTTTCCAGTGGGGTCAGAGTTTCAAGTCAAATCCTGAATTACCAAATACCTTGCCACAGTTAAGGTAGGTAGATAGATGACTAACTCCAATACATTTGCAAATGTATTCAGTCATTGCATCAATAACCAATATTCAGCTGCAGTTGTTTACAATTTAACAGCTTACATTCCAGATCCAAAAACAAATTGTTTTAGTTTGTTTAAAGTAAAAACTATGACTATTAAATACTATGTCTAATAACCTTGGGGAAAGAGTGTGTGTTCAGAACAGAAGGTTGCTCTCTTCCAAAATGAATTGGGCCAAACAGAATCACAAAAGTGGGAGAACAGAAAAAGTGTTAATCCTTTGGATCATCCTTTCCTATGATGAAATTTTGTATCATAAATTGTATTGAAGATGACTGACATTTTTTTAAAAGTCAGCTTCAAAATAAGAAACCCAAATTTGAGTTCTGCCTATCTGAAGAAAAAAAAATTATATAAAAAGAAAAACCTGTGAAATAGCCATTTAAGAAATACATTTTAAAGATACACATGGGTATAATGCAATTATTCATCAATTTCATCAATTGCTACTTCCTAGTTACTATGTTCCCTCACATCTCCCAAGACTATGTGATGGCTCCAACTTCCCATTCTGTGCCCAAACCACTTGGCTAACTCATAGTCATCATTCAAGACTGTAGACTAGCTTCACCTCTTCCAGAAAACCTTCCCTGACCGACCAGGCAGGTTAATGGTGTTCCTATTGTATATATACTTTAAACACCATTATTATGATGCTTTTTATACTCTGTAGTCTATATCATATAAGAAAATAAACATGTTGAATTAAAAAATATCACTGATATTAGAAAATAAATGAAAAATATAACAAAGCACAGCTTAAATATTAACTTGTAGAACAATAAAATATTTAAAGAAAACACACGGGTTGGGGTTACTTTCATTTTCAGCAGTAATGGACAGGAAATTCTTAAGAACTTTCCTGATGAAGTCATCAACAACCACTAGGGGGCAGAGGGGAGCAGAAAGGGCACTTTCTAAAACCATCAAAGATCTAACAAAATATTGAAGGATTATAAGGCCAAGATTTAAGGCACTAGGAAAATCTAAAGCTCAGCCTGACATCTGGAATTGCTGTGGCCCAGGGCATGTTTACTGACCCATAAGAGGTAGCTAGAAATCTGAGTAGAGCTTTTGACAGGGTTGAGAGTCTGGGGGACAAAAGCTGGAGGCTGGAGTCCAAGGGTTCAAGCCCTGGTAATCTATAACAATCCAGAGCAAGCAGGTTCTACTTAGTAACATCACCCATAAGGCCCATGCCGGGAGTAAATCTCTGTTACCCTTTCCTCGTGCTTCTAAGTTTGTTCCAGTTGTCATAATTTCCCGCCACAGAAAAGTGAGAAAAATGCACTCCAAGGCAAGTGTTTTTGAGGTTTTGTTTTGTTTTGTTTGAGATAGCGTCTCACTCTGTTGTCCAGGCTTGAGTGTAGTGGCACTATCATAGCTCACTGCAGCCTCAAACTCCTGGGTTCACGTGATCCTCTTGCCTCAGTCTCCCAAGTAGCTATGACTATAGGTGCATGACACCATGCTCAGCTAATTTTGGTTTTTGTAGAGGCAAGACATATTGCCTGGGTTGGTCTCAACCTCCTAGCCTCATGCTACCCTCCCACCTCGGCCTCCCAAAGTGCTGGAATTACAGGTGTGAGCCACCACACCTGGCTATTTCTTTTTAAATAATGTAAAAGTTGTATGTATCACTTCTTCTGGTATACCAACACTTAGCTACAAGGAAGCCTGAGAAATGCTATCTCTACCAGGATAGCCATTGCCCAGCTGAACTCTTAATATTAAAATAGCAAAGAAGAGGATAAGGAATTTGGGGGACTACTGACAATCTATGACAGGTGTGTTACAATTTTAAGTAAGATGACCTCATATGAAGTTGACATCTGAGTAAAGACTTGAAAGAAGTATGGGGGCAAGGGAGAGTCTTCCAGGCAGAAGGACCAGCACACGCAAGGGCCCTGAGGTAAGAACATGCATAGTATATTAGGGAACAGCAAAGAGATCAGTGAGGCTAGAATAGAATGTGTAAGAAGGAGAATAGTAAGAGATAAGGTCAAAAATGTAACAAGCCAGTAAAAAAGTAATAAGAAGCCAGTTTATAGATCCTAAAGCCTAAATACTATGAAAGATTGATAAATTCAAATTCATTTTTAAAATTTCATCATTTCATAAACAAAAATATGCTATAAGCAAATAAGTTAAAAGGCAAAGTGAAAAAATATATATACTTTAAATTCATGTCACAAGGGCTAATGCAAAAAGGGTCTTAGATACAATAGAGGTTCCAATACGAAAATGAGCAAAGGATATGAGCAAAAAAATAAATAAAGGTTAATAGCCCTAATGTCTATCAATAGAGGAGTGATTAAATACATTTTGATATTGATCTACAACAGAGTATTTGTAGTTTTCAGGAAGAATGAGTAAGATGTAGAGAAATTGAAACCTTCACACACAGCTGGCAGGAATGTAAAATGGTGAAGCCACTATAGAAAAGTCTGGCAGTTAACCCAAACTGTTAAACACAGAGTTTACCATGTCATCTAGCAATTCTACTCCTAGATATATACCAAAACAAACTGAAAACGTATGTTCACACAAAAACTTGTATATGAACGCTCATCGTAGCATTATTAATACTGGCCAAAAAGCAGACATGTCTATCAAATGATGAATGGATAAACAAAATGTGATAGATACAATGAAATACTTATCAGCAATGAAAAGGAATGATATACTGATAAATGCTGTTAACATGAACACATTAAATGAAGTAAAAGAAGCCAGACACAAAAGCCACATATAGTATGATTTCATTTATATAAAACGTCCAGAATAGGCAAATGCATAAGACTAAAAGCAGATTAGTGGTTGCCAGGGGTAGACAGGAGGAACAAATGAGGAGTGACTGCTAATGAGCATGGAGTTTCTCTTTGGGGTAATAAAATGTTCTAGAATTAGACAGGGGTATTGGCTTCACAACTCTGTGAATGTACCCCAAACTACTCAATTGTATACTTTGAAAGGGTGAATTTTTTGGTATTTGAAATATATCTCGATAAAGTCATTATTTAAAAAAGAAAAATGGGAAAGCTCTCTAAATGCTTGTGTAAAATGACTGCCAGGATAGACTTAACAGGAAAAAGACCAAAGTTCAAAACAATATGTAGAATTTCCTGCCTTCTGTGTGAAAACAGGGTGAAATAAGACTATATTCATAATTGAATATACAGATGCTCCTTGACTTACGATGGGACTACATGTCAATAAGCCCATCATAAGTTGAAAATATCACAAATCAAAAATTCATCTAATACATCTAACCTAACAGACAATAATAGCTTAACATAGCCTACCTTAAACATGCTAAACACTTACATTAGCCTATAGTTGGGCAAAAATCATCTAACGCAATGCCTATTTTATAATGAAATGTTGAATATCTCATGTAATTTATTGACTACTGTACAGAAAGTAAAAAACAGAATGGCTATACAGCTACTTGAAATACAGTTTGTACTGAATGTGTAACACTTTCACATCACTATAAAGTCAAAAATCTTAACTTGAATCATTGTTAAGTTGGGGACCATCTGTGTATTTGTAAAAAATTTTAAGCACATGCGTAAGAAATCAAGAATAGCAGTTAATTACA